AGTTTACCTGGTTAGTGCTACAGTTATATGATGATTCTGTAACAGGTTAGCCAGCATAGTATAGCTTCCTATAGCCAGTACTCTTTACAAACTTTACCAAAGGCTGTAGTGATGCTAATGGGTGAGGGAAATAAACACTAGTGGCAGTCAGTGCTCATGAATGATTGGTGATAAAAGTAATACATGCTACACTCACAAATGCGTTCTGTTGTAGCAACTGCTGTGAGGGTGGGCAAGCTTACAGAACCGACCACGAATTTGCCCACATACTAATCTTAGCCTATACATCCCATACAATATAGCCAGGCTTAGGAAAGAATGAACTTGTGGGTGGAGCAATGTCTGTTGTTCTTTAAGTCTAAGAGTGTATGAATGAACTCTAATTCCAATACAGGGCTTAGACAGCTGCCTGTGTAAGTGTATTGAGCTCAATACGTATTTACCAGAATTCTAAATTATTAATAAGCAATATCATACAGAATATTAGTTAAACGTATTACTTCTTCTAAATAAAATAAATTACTTGTATGTTGCATTTATAGAAGTATACCTCAAGGTTGACTATTCAGAGTGAATACTGAAATCCATGAATATTGAAAGTCAAAGTTGAAATCACATTTTATTCATTTTAATTGACTTGGACTTTGTACTAAAATCCTTTTGCTTTATGTCTCTCTATGCCTTAATTGTGTTTAATTTATTAAAACAATGATTAAACTTTCCACTTTGTCACTACCAAAACAATCAGAACGCGACCAAATGTTTTGGTAGTCACTGTTTCGGTGGTGACTATTTTAGCTAATTTTGAGCAGAACTCCATAATTCTAGCCACTACATGTTCAAACACAACATTGATCAGTTGTGCACACGTAAAATCATAATATTTTTCATTAAAACAAAAAACACAAATGAAAATATGTGTTTCAGTAGTTACAGATTTGAATGACTGATTTTCAGACTTTAGGACACATTTACTTCAAAACAGTGAGATCTAACTGCTCACCATGTGGCCATGATGGTCAGGGATGCAGTCTCACTTTCTGTTCTGAAATGCAGGGGAGTGGCTAAAATAAGGCTCCGCTTATGGACTAAACTCTTTGTGTTTCAGTAAGGACAGCATTTTTGACATCAACTTTTTTTTATTTAAAAATTTAACTAATGATAAATCAAAATGTTTCAACTTCAGTTTAAAAGAAAAGAAAGCAACAAAAAAAATGTAAGCATTATTTTCAGTAGTTTAGGGATTAGGGTTGGTTCCCAATAGAAAGCACCCTATAAAGGATTATTTTGTATATATTTAGCTTTTTGCTATCTCAGTAAATGCCTTAAAACAGATCATAACATAATCCTTGTAAATATCTTAGGAATTAATAATTACGTTTTTTATATACATATAGGTTTTTTTTGGACTGTGGGGTTGCAGTTTGCACTAGTTCTGTAAAAAGCTCTACACAGTTCAGTGCTGTAACGCCACAAAATGACCACAGTGTGGCAGTACTTTAATGAAGTTCATATCTATGGGACTCGGTGGTCCTCCTGATCTAATTACAGCTGGTACGTCTAATTGTGTTTGTTAGGCCGATGGCTTTAGATCCATCTGCAGACGTCACGCCTCTTTCTCAAATGCATGAGTAATATTCCAAAAATACTGCAGAAATATTGCAAAGCCAGCACTGCCTGCTTCGGGCCCGGCACATTTAAGCCTCAGTTTGGGCTCGGTCCAACTGATGAGATTAGAGCCACAGCACGTCCACTGCACGGTTCCGTAACGCTGTGTTCATCCTCCAGCTCCTCACCTCCATTTCACCGCAACAGAGGCCCATCTCACAGGAAATTATGAAACTGTCATATTTGGGATTATGCTTCACTGTAAAGCGGACAACTGTGCAAAAGGCTACACAGTGATCATTAATGAGTCTGAAATCTAGGCCTTTTCCCAACAGGCTTTGCCAGAGTTTAAATCATTACATGTGCATACACGGCAAAATCTTCAGTGTTGACTGAACATCTCAAAGTGTTGAAGTAATTCTGACAAGTTTTGAATTCTTTCTTACTGTGTTGATTTCATTCTTGCAGAAACCATTTTTACAGTGTTGGTTTCCGTCGAATTGAACTCACTCTTATAGTATTGATTTCACTCATATTGTGTTGAATTGACCCTGTGTTGTATTTACTCTTACGGTGTTCATTTATAGTGTTGAATTCACTCTTACAGTGTTGATTTCACTATTTTAGTGTCAGTTTCTTTCTTAAAGTATTAAAATCACTCTTTCAGTGTTGGTTTCTTTCTTATAGTGTTGAAAATCACTCTTTTAGTGTTGATTTCTTTCTTATAGTGTTGAAATCACTCTTTTGGTGTGGGTTTCTTTCTCATAGTGTTGAAATCACTCATAGTGTTGATTTCTATCTTATAGTGTTGAAATCACTCTTTTAGTGTTGATTTCATTTATATAGTGTTGAAAATCACTCTTTTAGTGTTGGTTTCTTTCTTATAGTGTTAAAATCAGTCTTTTAGTGTTGGTTTCTTTCTTATAGTGTTGAAATCACTCTTTTAATGTTGGTTTCTTTCTTATAGTGTTGAAATAACTCTTTTAGTGTTGATTTCATTTATATAGTGTTGACAATCAGTTTTGGTGTTGATTTAATTTCTATAATATTGGATTTACACTTTTAATGTTGGTTTAATTCATATAGTGTTGAAATCACTCTTACTGTGTTGATTTCATTCATAGTGTTGATTTCATTCATAGTGTTGATTTCATTCATAGTGTTGATTTCATTCATATAGTTTTGAAAATCACTTTTAGTGTTGGTTTCATTCTTAAAGTGTTGAATTCACTCTATTTGTATCATTCATATAGTGTTGAAATCACTCTTACTGTGTTGATTTTATTCTTAGTATTGAATTCAGTCTTATTGTGTTGGTTTCATTCTTATTCTATTGAATTTACTCTTACATGGTTGATTTCATTCTTGTAGTGTTGAATTCACTCTTACTGTGTTAACTTCAGTCTTATAGTGTTGAATTCACTCTTAGTATTGAGTTCATTCTTAGTGTTGAGTTTACTCTTACTGTGTTGTTTTCATTTATGTATTATTAACTCCACTCTTTTAGTGTTAAATTTACTTCTGTAGTGTTGGTTTGATACTTATGGTGTTGAAATCACTCTTTCAGTTTTGGTTTCTTTCTTATAGTGTTGAAATCACTCTTTTAGTGTTGGTTTCTTTCTTATAGTGTTGAAAATCACTCTTTTGGTGTGGGTTTCTTTCTTATAGTGTTGAAATCACTCTTAGTGTTGATTTCATTTATAGTGTTGAAAATAACTCTTTTAGTGTTGGTTTCTTTCTTATAGTGTTAATCACTCTTTTAGTGCTGATTTCTTTCTCATAGTGTTGAAATTACTCAGTGCTGATTTCTTTCTTATAGTGTTGAAATCACTCTTTTGGTGTGGGTTTCTTTCTTATAGTGTTGAAATCACTCATAGTGTTGATTTCTTTCTTATAGTGTTGAAATCACTCTTTTAGTGTTGATTTCATTTATGTAGTGTGGAAAATCACTCTTTTGGTGTTGTTTTTTTTCTTATAGTGTTGAATTCACTCTATTTGTATCATTCATATAGTGTTGAAATCACTCTTACTGTGTTGATTTTATTCTTAGTGTTGAATTCAGTCTTATTATGTTGATTTCATTCTCATGGTGTTGAATTCACTCTTAGTGTTGATTCCATTCTTAGAGTGTTGAATTCACGCTTAGTGTTGATTTAATTCTTAGTGTTGAATTCACTCTTACTGTGTTAACTTCAGTCTTATAGTGTTGAATTCACTCTTAGTATTGAGTTCATTCTTAGTGTTGAATTCACTCTTACTGAATTGGTTTCGTTCTTATATTGTGTTGTACTTACTCTTACTGTGTTGTTTTCATTTGTGTAGTGTTAACTCCACTCTTTTAGTGTTGAATTTACTTCTGTAGTGTTGGTTTGATACTTATGGTGTTGAAATCACTCTTTTAGTGTTGATTTTCTTCTTATAGTCTTGGATTTACTCTTTAAGTGTTGGTTTCATTCTCAAAGTGTTGAACTCACACTTACATTGTTGGTTTCATTCTTATAGTGTTGAATTCACTCTTACTGTGTTGATTTCATTTTTATAGTGTTTAATCCACTCTTTTAGTGTTGACTGTACTCTTTTAGTGTTGGTTTCCTTCTTATAGTCTTGAATTCACTCTTTAAGCGTTGGTTTTGTTTTTATAGTCTTGAACTCACTCTTATTGTTGTTTTCGTTCTCATAGTGTTTAATTCACTCTTACTATGTTGATTCCATTCTTATAGTGTTGAATTCACTCTTTTAGTGCTGGTTTCATTTTTGTAGTGTTAAATTGACTCTTTTATTGTTAAATTGACTCCTTTAGTGTTGGTTTCATTATTACAGCGTTGAATTCACTCTTACAGTGTTCAGTTGTGTCCAACAGGGTTCATGTAAACACTGTATTAATTCAACACTGTAAGATCGCATTAAACACGGGATATTTGTCTGAAAACCTTTAATAAACATAGTATGTCAGTGTTTTTCGATCACGGATTATACTTGGTACTGTTTTAAAACCTAAACTCCAGTTTTGATGTCTCTGGATGTCTGAATGAGCCCATCTGCTTGATATTATTTAAACGCCTGACTTTTTCAGACAGTTTATGACACAATCGTAGTTAGTCGCGTGCAGCAATTATGATTATTGCTGTTGAAATTAAGAGCAAACCCGTTCATAATCCTCTTAATTAAAGCTCCGTCCTGATTGGACGGCAGGAGAATCCCGCGGGGGCCCCTAGCGCTTCTACTAACTCGCGCGCGGGGCGGAAGCGCGAGTCACAATCTGCCCAGGGCGGAGGGCGAGACGCGGCGCGGGGAGCCCACACACACTCATACATTTACACACACACACGCACACATACACACACATATACATACATAACCACGGCAGCACGGAGACGCGCGCGCGCCGGTCCGGGAGAGGGACGAGGCGTCCGAAACAGTGCGCGCGTGCGTTATAGACGGGCGTCTGCGTCGAAAAGAGGCGGCGGCGAGCAGTGAAGGCTCGAGCTGTTTTTTTTTTTTCTTCTTCTTCTTTTCTTCCTGAGGAGTTCGGCGAGGGAGAGGAGGAGAGAGGAGCGCGCAAAGTGTTCGGGAAAAGCCTCGGAACGCGGAGGAGGGAGGAAGTTTGCTCTGTTTGTTTTGTTGTTTTTGTTTGTTTCGCCACTCTGAGCTCGCGCTCTTCTGGTTGCGATGAACGCCCGAGAGGAGAACCTGCTGAAGTCGATCAGCGGCGACGCGCTGCTGGACCTCACGCAGCGCTACGGCCAGTCCGCGCTCGCTTTCGGCGCCGGCCGTGGTGCTGAAAGCCCCGCGCGCTGCTACCCTCTCGCTCCCGCCGCCGCCGCCGCGGCCGCAGCTGACTTCCTGTCCGCGCGGGCGGCCAAAGCGGGCGAGAGCGGCGGCGAGCACACGAGCGACGACGACGACGGCTTCGAGCTGGACGCGCGCAAGAGGAGCCCCGCTTTCCACGACGTGCACGGCGACGGCCACCTGGACGGCCACGGCGGACACGACGGCGACGAGAAGCGCGCGGGCGGCGCGCTCGCCAAGAAGCCCAAGGAGCAGCGCTCGCTGCGGCTGAGCATCAACGCGCGCGAGCGGCGGCGCATGCACGACCTGAACGACGCGCTGGACGGCCTGCGCGCCGTCATCCCCTACGCGCACAGCCCGTCCGTGCGCAAACTGTCCAAGATCGCCACGCTGCTGCTCGCCAAGAACTACATCCTGATGCAGGCGCAGGCGCTCGAGGAGATGCGCCGGCTCGTGGCCTACCTCAACCAGGGCCAGGCGGTCACGTCGTCGCCCGTGGCGCCCGCGCTCGCGCCCTTCGGACAGGCCGCCGTGTACCCGTTCACGGGCGCGGCGCTGGCCAGCTGCGCCGAGAAGTGCGCGTACCCGGGCTCGCCCGCGAGCCTCTTCAAACACTGCGGAGACAAGCCTTGACTGCGCGCGCGGGCGGGAGGGGCGCGGAACTGAACTTGTAGAGAGAGCCCGCCGCGCGCTCTGTACTCCACTACCGCGCGCTTGAACATCAGATTTCGTTGGGAAAGAAAAGAAGACGCATAATCCTACAGCGTGTTTAACTAACTGCGGTGTTATATCCAGATTTACCAGATGATGTAAAAAATAATGTCTGTGTGGACTGAGAGCCACAGTGTAGAGTGGATTCAGGTCTTCTGGGTCATCAGAGAATAAAACACTCTTATTTATTCTGAATTCAGCGGGTCTGCGTTATTGTAAACCTTCTCGATGAGCGAAACTGAACAGGCAAAGAAATGAAGCGCGAGAAACAGAAGAAAAGAGCGGCTTTAGCGTTCAAGGCCTATGACGTATGTCCCATTTAACGCACCATCCTGTATGACCTGATGGCCCGTAATACCTGAACCCACCCTGCTTTAAATTCCCCCCAGTTCCACTGCTTTCTCTCCTCTCTCCTCAAACTAAGCTCAAACAAATTGTTACCAGTGTGTGATTTACTGGATTGCATTGGAGTGCATGTTCATTTTTGGTCCCTCTGGACTTCTACTCTGAGTCGCTCACAGCTTGCAAAGGGTGTCATTGCGACCCTCAGTCCGAATTTTCTCCCCTTCTAGAAATTTAGTGTGTATTATTGGTGAACTATGCAACATTCAGCAATGACGACGAACAAAAAACGGCCCACAGATTTGATTTCTCATGTATATTCCGCCATCAGCAGTCAGACATGAGTGGGAGAAGCTCTAAAGTCTCTAAACTCTCTCTCTCTCTCTCTCTCTCTCTCTCTCTCTCTCTCTCTCTTCTGTCAGTGCTCTCTGTGGACAAAACGCTGTGTAACACATTTCCAAGTTGTTGGCCTCTGAAGATGATTCTGGACATATTCTTGCACAATTCACTTGATTGTATTGTACAACTGTGAAGAAAACTACTTGATAAAAGCCTGAAGTGGCGAAGCGTTTGGTCTTGTTGCTACATGAGTTTCATATATTGTTTATACGTCTTTATAATTAAAACATTATCTATGAGCAGTGACGACTCGTTCTTTCTTTTTTCTCTCTTTGAAGAGTTGCTCTCGCTTTGTTCTTCACGCGCTCGTGTTAGGCGCAGAATCTTAGATTCTTTGTATTTGTGGTATTAAAAGCGAAGAAGAAGAAGAAGAAGAAGGGCAGTCTGGACACGTGTAGGCCATTGTAGTCCAGTTGGAATTGGCCTGTCCAATAAAATAATTACACTCTGATTTCTGATTTGAATTTTTTTAAGGAAAAAAAAAATATTTATAATTTCACTCCGTCACTGACTTGGATGTTATGTGACTATAATGTGTCCAGTTGTTGCGCATAAATATACAGACACAAAATGCTAAAGACCCAAACGTAAGGACAGCAGCGGTGTTGGTGTCCCACTGGACACAACTGAACCACAGACCATGTTTTATTACACTGTAAACAATGACATGGAGTCTTAGTTGAGCCAGATGAATGCGCTGCGCAGACAGACTCATATTCATAATATCTGCTGTATGGGAGCAAATCTTCAGCGCTCTCAGTGGATGCGTCCTTCGCTCTGAGCGCGCGCTGCTTTTGGGTCTTTCTCAGGTGTTGGTGGCTGATTTGTTGTGATTCTGAACAGGTATGATGTAAATCTCTTAAATGAGTCTGCTCTGTGTGTGTGTGTGTGTGTGTGTGTGTGTGTGTGTGTGTGTGAGCGTCTGTGTGTCCAGGCCGCTGGTCCTGCCTGCTCACACACACACACACCCGCTCCTCTTATTAACGCGATTTCAGCGCCTGTCTCCTCCAGACTGCTGATGCGCCGGACAGAGCAGCGAAATACACACACACACACACACACACACACACACACACACACACACACACACACACACACACATACACATACACGCCCGCTGAGGCCTGCACCCAACTGCCCCTGCTCTTTTTTTACTTGAACCAAAAGAAATGAAAAAACAAAAAAATAAATACAAGGATAAAATAAATGCATTTAATTATTTGTTTATTTTGCATTTTATCCTCAGCGCTGACTGAACACTTACAGTGATGAATTAACAAGTGTTGAGTTACTTTTACAGCATTAAATTCTCTCACAGTGTTGGATTCATTCACTGTTAGACTCCACCAGCTGAGCTCATTAACAGTGAAGCTGTTTAATCAGCATTAGCCATTTTGCTGCATTTCATTCAAAAGTGTAGGATTTTTTAAATCTTTCATTCCTTATTATTATTAGCATTATTATTGTTTGCTTTGCAATTTAATTAAACTTCTTAAATCTTAAAATCCATATTTCTTTCACAGTAGTTGCTACATAAAACATTTTAAGGTTTACAACTTAACAGTAAGCCTGCAGGTTTATGAGCTGACGTGAGATTCACCATGTTTGCCCACAGCATCCAGACATTTTTTATAACCACTTGAAAAATTTATTGTATTACACTCCTCATATAATTGCAATTTGTTTTGCTATGGATTCAAAAAGTAAATGAAATGTGAACAGACTTATTCAGAGTGGTTTGATGTGAAGTGGTTCAACTCAAAGATGGTGATAGGAACCGGGGGTCACGAGGTCTACAAACTTTGCCATTATAGCCATTTTATTTACTGTCCAAAACAACCAGTGAACCTACATATGTCTTCACCCATGCAAGGTCTTATTGTAATAATGGTAATGGTAAATTAGTGGTAAATATGAAACTAAATATTTTATTTGGAGACTATTTTGTCTGTCAATGGCCCACATGAACCTCTCTGTCATGAATGAATGAAAAAATAAAATTTCAGCCAAAACTTCCTCTTAAAACTAACAGTCTCTCGGGCATCAGGCAATGAATTCATAACCATTTCACCTGGTAACTTTCTGAGCTTTTAGAGGCATTAAACACTTCGGATGTCTAGTTCCTGTCACTGCATTTGTGAACAATTATGACTCTGCAATCTTCTCTTGAATGAAACGTTTCACATCAAACTGCTCTGAATGACTTTCTTTACATTTCAACGGTTTAATCATGCAGAAATGTAGCAACATTGGTGGAATTTACCCTTAAAGTCTGGGGCACAAGGGGCAGATGAAGCTGCATTTGCATAAATCGAAATGATCTTCAAAAATGACAGTGTCAAAAAAGTGTTTTTCAGTGATGCAATAGAAGAACAACTGTTCCCTTTTAGTTCTTTCCAGAATTATTATCTGTCTTTAAAGAATCATGTCAGTAAATGAGATGTGTGAGTATGAAGAACTGTCTGTTCAAAGAAGTTCCACATAATGTAACTATTCTCAACCAATTAAAGGTTTTTCCTAGAAACAAACATAGAAAGTAAGAACCTTTTAGGAACCTTTATTTTGTGATTGTGAAGAGAGTGTACTTGTTGAGCTCCTATTGAATCAACTACGAAGCGCTCCAGATAAGGTGATTCAATATATATTTGTTTAGCAATCAAATTGCTTAATTTTCATTCTTCTTTTAGCTTGCATATCACTCTAAACTGTCTGCATGTGCTGACCTTACTAGGGTGATTTCAAGTGTTATGACCCAGTAAAATGCTACAGTGTTTTATATGGTAATATAGTACACTGCATAATATGATACAGTGTATAATATGGTAACATACTACAGTGTATTATAAGGTACAGTGTGTAATATGGTAATATGGCTCAGTGCATTATAGGGCAATATGATACAGTGTATAATATGGTAAAATAGTACACTGTATAATATGGTAATATTGCACAGTGTTATATGGTAATATGGTACAGTGTGTTAAATGGTAATATGGTACAGCGTCTAATATGGTAATGTGGTATGGCATGTAACATGATAATATGGTACAGTGTGTTACATGGTAATATGGTACAGTGTGTTATATGTTAATAGGGTACAGTATGTAATATGGTAATATGGTACAGTGTGTTATATGTTAATAGGGTACAGTATGTAATATGGTAATATGGTACAGTGTGTTATATGTTAATAGGGTACAGTATGTAATATGGTAATATGGTACAGCGTGTAATATGGTAATATGGTACAGTATGTAATATGGTAATATGGTACAGCGTGTAATATGGTAATGTGGTATAGCATGTAACATGATAACATGGTACAGTGTGTTACATGGTAATATGGTACAGTGTGTTATATGTTAATATGGTACAGTATGTAATATGGTAATATGGTACAGCGTGTTATATGTTAATATGGTACAGTTTATAATTTGATAATATAGTACAGCATGTAATAAGATAATATGGTACAGCGTGTAATATGGTAATATGGTACAGTATGTAATATGGTAATATGGCACAGTGTGTAATATGGTAATACGGTACAGTATGTAATATGGTAATATGGTACAGCGTGTAATATGGTAATATGGCACAGAGTGTAATATGGTAATATGGCACAGAGTGTAATATGGTAGAGTGTGTAATATGGTAATATGGTACAGTGTGTTATATGTTAATATGGTACAGTTTATAATTTGACAATATAGTACAGCATGTAATATGGCACAGTGTGTAATATGGTAATATGGCACAGCGTGTAATATGGTAATATAGCATAGTGTGTAATTTGGTGCAGCATATAATATGGTAATATGGCACAGTGTAATACGGTACAGCATGTAATATGGTAATATGGCACAGTGTGTAATATGGTACAGCGTGTAATATGGCACAGTGTGTAATATGGTACAGTGTGTAATATGGTACAGCATGTAATATGGTAATATGGCACAGTGTAATATGGTACAGCATGTAATATGGTACAACCTGTAATATGGTACAGCGTGTAATATGGCACAGTGTGTAATATGGTAACATGGCACAGTGTGTAATATGGTACAGCGTGTAATATGGCACAGTGTGTAATATGGTAATATGCTACAGTGTGTAATATGGTAGTATGGTACAGTGTGTTATATGATAATGTTTTACTGTGTGCTATATAATGTGGCATGATGGTACCATAGTAGTTTGCTACAGTGTGTTAGATAGTACTCTGGTGTAATATAGTAATATGTGACAGTGTATTACATGGTAGTATAGTACAGTGGTTTTGTAGTAATAAGGTACAGTGTGCTATATGGTACTGTAAGACAGTGTTTTTGCGTAGTAGTCTGGCACCGTCTGTCATATGGTAATTATAATATGGTATAATACAAGGTAGTATGGTACAATTAGAGTGTAATATGATAATATTAAGATGCGTTACATGGTAAGGTAGATTAGTAAGATACATGGTCTTATGGGACATGTGTATCACAGGCCCTGAATGACAAAGCCATTCTTCTTTTTAATTCACCACTACAATTGACTTTTTAATTTAACAAGCCTATTAAAACAATACAGTAGGCAGCATCACTTAAATTTGGAATAAACAACTTTCTTAAAGTGTCCCCAATTAATAGCCTACCTGGAGTGACTGTAATTAAGGCACTTCAGTCTATATGTACCTTATCTAATAATCAATTGCTTGCTTAAATGTCATTCTCCTTTTACCACACTATCAAGCTAAACCTACCAAGAAGTACACC